TTTTGCTAGGAATTCTGTGTGCAGCAAACAAATAACAAGAGTTCTAGGACCACCCTTTGCCCCTGCAGACATCACAGCCTGACCACAGCACTCTCGCTAAACCCAAATGTGCTGAACGCCCTCAACGCAAAGCTCAGACCACGGTTTCAATGGTCCAAGCTTACCCTGTTGTCATGTAATCACGCAGCAGTTTCTGCCACGCTGCCCTGGCGTGAACTGGACTGCAACGATCCTCCTGGGCCCTCCTTTATCTGCCCTCACTTACCGCTTCTCCAAAGGGGAGGACGGGGTGCCAGTGCCGGGGGACAGTCAGGCTCTCTAACTGCCAGAGTGACAGGTAAATCAAGGAACTCCCCCTTGTAAGACACGGGAGGTGAGGGGCCAGTTATTAAAAAGAACATTTCGATTTTACAACAGCCCAAGATATGTTATCCAACTTCTCCTTAGCCAATAATCAGAGTATAAATTTCTAGTGGTTCTCGCTGAGAGCCAGTTAATTAGCTCTGCTGCTATCTTCTCAATGAGGAGGAAGGTGAAGGCATTATCAGAGTTTCATGCTGTTTTGATAAGAACTTGCAAAAACCAGAGAAGGAACTGCAAAATGTTGCCTGTTCAGATTTTCTACAAAATATGCTATCTCGTCTTGCCCAGAAGTGAGTAGCTCCCCTCAAGTCAGTAGCAAACATATTTGCTTCATAATAAGGTCTGTGGTCCCTCTCAGTCTTTCTTCCTTTAACATGAAGGCCGGAATTCCTGAAGTCAATACATAAAAGTGTGCTTGGGTTCCTCCTAAATGAGAGGGTCTTTTTTCTCTAGAAAACGTAATGAATTTACAACACTGCACCAAACGTCTTCAAAACCTAGTCATGAAAATAACATGATTTATTATATTAAATGAAAAGAAATTGGTAAAGGACAAAAGCACTAAGCAGGCTAATAGGCAACAAGATTAATCACTGCCAACTTGCATTAAATCAGTAGGGCCCCAGGAAGAGTCCATCAATTTGTGTTCAAATAAAAAGTGAAAAAAATCCAGCACACGGAAAGAACAAAAAAGATTAAATAATCTTTCAGCTGACAAAATATGCTGTCTTGAATATATTTAATTCCGACTACAGGCTGAATTCCAATTTCGGGATCTTACGAAGAGAATGTTAGAGGCTTACTCCACACAAAGACATATAAAATACATTTCCTTATACCATTTATTGTACTATCATCATTAAAATAATACATATTCAGTCATGCATTTCTATACGAGGGATTTTTACATAATTAAGATAACTGTGATTTTGTATTCTATATTTTAAACTGAGCATTGTATCATACACTTCTGTTACTAAAATCCTTCAAAAACGTTCACGGGTGCTCGCACTCCACTAACAGTGCTGGTTTGGTGGTCGCTGGCCCCATCCAAAGGACATGCTTCTGTCATCCTCCCCAGTTCAACTCTCACTGGCTTCTGGCACTGCTGACCAGCCTTTTCTTGATCTGCCCTCCTCCCCGAGTTCCTGTGACTTACGGGGCTGGTTTCCCTCCTGTTTGTCTCCCAAGTCTATTCACCCTGCTCTCTCTGCCCCCTCCATTACCTGCTGGGGCTCCTGGAGGCGTGGCCTCTCCTCATTTCTTTCTGTCTCCTTGGTGATCGCAGGCCTCCCTTGAGCCTTTATTAACTTATGATGAGGATGCACACATTTCACCTTCCACCCCAGATCTGTATGCCTGGCAATTGTCTTGACCTTCTCCTTGGAAGTCAACACTCACATGTCCCCAGATGAACTTAGGACCCCCCTGTCCTGGCCCTCTCCCAGGATGAGCCAGCCTGGAGAATGGCACTACCTCCACCTTGGTCTCAAGCCAGAAAGCCAGGAGTCATCCTGGACATTTCACGCCTCCTCCCCAGTCAAACCAATTTGTGGTCAAATCCCTGCACTGTACCGTCTCAGGTGCCTTTCCCGTCCATCCACTGCTCTCCTCCCCGGCCAGCAGGGTCAGCACGTAGGGGCGTTCGCCACACACATGCCACCACCCATGCCTCCTGCCTGTTCTACAAGAACACTTAGCAACTCATTCCCAAGCCATTTTTAGGTCTCTCCATTTTTTAACCTTATTAAAATGTAAATCTAATCATGCTCTTCCTTTGCATGACTGCTCTTAGGGCCTGGGATGGCCTACATCTCCCTGAGTCATCGCCCCTACGTTCCCCTGGTTTCCCTGAGTGGCCTGGCCCTTCCCGACACCTTCTGCAGCATCCCTCAGCCACTGTGGCCTTCACCGGCGGTGCTCTTCCCCTCCCCACCTCTGGACTCAGCATTCTTCACTTGGGTCCCAGCACAGTCGGCGCACACCTCCTCCGACAGGGACACCCCTCTGATTACAGTCACATGGAGACTGGCCCTCTCCGGAGCAGTTACGATCGCCGCTGTGTGTTTGATGGCTAACTCTTATTTGCGTCAATCTTTGTCTTTGGTGAATGTCTGTCAGCATCAAAATGGTAAGAATTACATTCCCCTCTTTTTCTTACTGATGAATCCTCAGCAACTGGAACACAATTGGTTCTCAATGAACATTTGTTGAAGTAGTTCATTAACAAGAAAATATGGTATAACTTTGCCATTCTTTCAAAATATATTAAGTGCCTACTACATTTTACATTTAGGTTCCCTGGTGTTTGCTTTTATAATATGCTATAATAAATATCTTTAAATGTCACACTACTTTTTTCTTTAAATCATTCAGTCATCTGTTAAAAATCAAGGCTCTTGGTATCCACTGCCAAACTGCTTCTGAAAGGCCTGTACTCTTACCTTACTGTGATGTGGAAACTACACTAAGTTAGTGAAAAAATACTTTAACTGAAATTTGCTGACAGTGAACAGTGCTTTATATTTTGTGGCTATCTACATTTCCTCACTGATAAAACTTTATGTCCTATGTCTTTTGTTTATTTTATCTACTGTGCTCCCAGTCTCATACAATTAATGTGCAGCACATAATAGTTGATAATGACAATAAATGACTATGTTACTGGTTTATGTATGTACTATACTGTACTTTTTATCATTATATTAGAGTGCACTCTTGCTACTTATAAAAAACATTTTGCTATAAAACAGTATGCCATGTTCCACCGGCAGCAGCCTCATACATCTCATCTTTACTGCATCTCTTGATTGCATCATTTTCCCTTGTAAGCAAGTGATCTATCAGGTTGTTTTATAAATTTAGTGTAACAATAATATCCTAGGCCTTCGCATTCACTCACCACTCATCCACTTACTCATCCAGCGGAACTTCCAGTCCTGCAAGCTTCATTCATGTTAAGTACCCTATATAGGTGTAACACTTTTTCCTTTGTACTGTATTTTTACTGTACCTTTTCTGTGTTAGATGTTTAGATACACAAATACCACTGTGTTACAATTGCCTCAAATATAGATTTGTAGCCGAGGAACCACAGGCTATATACCATGTAGCCTAGGTCTATCATAGGCTATACCATCTAGGTTTGTGTTAAATACACTCTATGATGAAATTGTCTAACGACATATTTTTCAGAACGCACTCCTGTTGTTAAAAAGCACATGACTGCATTTGTTGATTTTCCAACTTTTCTTCTGCCATTGATTTTTAATTTCATTCAATCGGTCACAGGACATACTTTGTAAAACTTTAATACTTTTTGATTTATTGAAACTTTTTAATGCTCTAACACGATCTTTACTAGAGAATGTACACGTGCACTTAAGAATGTGTTGTTGGGTGATATGTTCTACAAAGGTCTGCAATGCGTAGTGGGTTTATAGTGCTGCTCAAATCTCTTACTTCCTTGGTTGTTCTAACCATTATTGAAAGCGGGTTATGCATGTCTCAAATCATTACTGAATTGTCTCAATTCTGTCAGGTTTTGCTTCCCTTGTTTAGGACTCTGTTGTTTAAGTGCATGTATACTAACAATCATTACATCTTTCTAGTAAGATACAATTATAACACTAATTTAATTATATAATTATAATTTATCATTATAAAATGTCCTCTTTTGAGTCCCTAGGAACAATTTTTGTCTTAATTTTATTCTACCTTTTTGATATTAGTAAAGCCACTCCAGTTCCCTTTTGGTTACTGTTTCCATAGTACACCTTTTCCCATCTTCTTAGTCTTAGACTCTAAAATGAGTCTCTTGTAGACAGCATATAATTTTATTTTTAAAAATCAATTCTGCCATCTCTATCTTTCAATTGGGGTATTTTATCTATTTACATAACATAGTTACCTATAAGGTAGGATTTTTGCCTGACACTTTTGCTATTTGTTTTTGAATGTCTTGTATCTCTGTTCTATTCCTTATTTTGTGTTAGATATTTCCTAGTGTGTCTTTTTAATTCCCTTGTTGTTTGTGACACTGTGGTTTATAATAAGAAGTATATACTTGGTCTTCAGCCCCACTCCTGGCTCAGAGCTCCTAAAACCCTTAAAATTTCCTAAGTGATGAGAGTGAAAAGGTGTCTTTTGTTATGTTAATGATTGACTTTTGGCAAGCCCCCAGGTAACCTATGGATGGGGCTGGCTGCCATAGTTTGTTATTTTAGATAACATGTTTTAATATCTTGTAAAGCAATTTTCCCTTAATAATTATTTTCCTAGAATTTTGTAGCTATTGTTACCTACTTGGCTAATTTTTCAAGTGAATGTTAGAATCATTTACTCAAGCTCCAGTCATAACTTCCATTGGTCATTTATGATGCTATTTTTAAAAGAACTCACCTTCTTAGAGCATTCAAGCTTCCCATTCTCCTCTACTTGAATACTGCTCAGCGAATTTACTGAATTTTTCCACGTGAATTCCATTGTATTTTTCTTAGGCATTTAAAATTTTTTGTTGTGACCGTGAACTGTGATTAATGTGCCTTTTTTTTTTTTTTAATATAAAGCAAACATTTTCTGAGGGAAATAAAAACTACTCATTTATGTACCTAAGGTTAATGAAGTCAGGAGGGCTCATTCTGGAACTGAGAGGTTTGTTGTGTTGTTGTTTTTTTTTTTGAAGCAGCAGCATATCTGTCCAAGTTAAATGTTAAGCAGAACCTCATACAGAAAAACTAAAAGCATAGCTGCCTGGTTGAAAAAGTGAATGAGGGACGGTCCCAAGCCCTGTGGGTTCTGTCTCCTGCCTCACTCCCCATGCCAGTTCTTGAGGCATTTTCCAACAACTGGCTGCTAGTACCCTGTCACAAATAGGTGCTCATCTGTGGGCTCCTTAGTGTAACCTCTCGCTTTTTTAAAAACACTTCGTTCTATTTCAAGGTGTTTCTCTGTCTCTGTTTACTGACCACTAACACATCTGAATTCCAGTGAGATCCTGCCTCACTGACCTTGACCACTCTCAGTTCTTCTCCCATAATCAACAGAACAGGGAACTGAACATAAGCTTGAAGACATGGTGGGTTTCAAGAAAGAAGAATCGATTTCTGTGATACTTTGTCTCTATTCCATCTCATGTTTCAACAGAGAGAAGTGTTTTGACTCTATGACTTAGAAATACAGAGGCCAGTTTTCAACTAAGTGAGTAGGTAGATTATATTTTGTATGAATTTTACTCCAGCAGAGAATAGAGGGTATTATGGAAGAGCTGATATATAAGAAGGAAGTAGGTCTGATAGGGCTTAGAATCACAGGACTAGAAGCATCTTTAAAACACACACTCAAAAGAAAATCTGTGTTCTAAGTGTCTACAAAAGATTTTTTATTAATTAAATTCTCAGAATAAAGAAATTTTAAAAATAACTATGATACTTTTAAAAACTACTGAGTAATGAATGATGTTTACAATTAGAAAAAACTTGAACCTTAAAGAGGAGGCTGAGTGAAGTACCCAGGGCTACAACAATGAAAGGAGGTGGACAGACCTGTTACATGTGGGCTCGTAAAGTCCTACACACTAACTTTTTAAACAAGAAGCAAATTGTACTCGTCGTTTCAAAGTTTGTTTGTGAAACTAATTGTTCAATGGCATCAGAAGGCAATTCCTCTTTATAGAAAAGAGCTTTTACTCTAATCCAGCCCGTATATTTACTTTCTATGGCAATTTGTATGGGAACGGAATGAGATCTAGTCCAGTTTTAAAACAAATTCAACAAGGTTGGCACTAAGCAAAAATGTGTAGTAATCTATGCAGTATTTAAAAAATAATTGAGAAGTATGGCAACCTAAATTACTTTCATATATAAGAAGAGGGTAGAGATCTTGGTGCAGATACACTTACCTCAGGGTAGTACAGTCCACAAAGGCCAACAGCCCGCAAGGGGAAGAGGAAGACATTCATTCTGTGTAACACCCTCATGAACAGCATTTTCAGGAGCCTAATTACAATTCATAGACGGTCAGTTAGATTCTAATAATGACTGTGTATACTCCCCAACCCCCTAAATAATTTTCTTCTCAGAAATAAAATAGGAAAGGGATTGAGTTCTGGAAAGAAATAGTGAGGCTGTGGAACTCCAAGTGGGGATGCTGTCTCTTCACCCCCAGGACGTGACTTGCATCCCCATGTTCTGTCTCACAGTCTCCTCCGTATGAAATATAATTTGTGCAATTTGTCCTTGAAAAAAAATCACAGTGGAGCCTGAGAACTCTCTGGGGCCATTAGTTTTTGTCCTTCAGTATCCTAAATTCAGATAGTCTTAACATCCCTTAGTTTTTGTCCTTCAGTATCCTAAATTCAGATAGTCTTAACATCCCGAAATATCCTTTGATTTGTTCTTCCTCTGGTATCTTGTGTCCTTGGGATCAAAGCCTCTTTCACTGGCACCAAATAATGCCCAGGGAGGCGTTTTGGCCATATAATCCTCTGCGCCGAAAGTTTTTGATCCACCACTGTCTTCGTATTCCTGAATAAGCTCCTGGAAGCGGTTATAATCAATCCACGTCCACCATTCTCTATCAATCTTAAACTAGGAAGAAAAATAATAATCAGGTCAGAAGTAACAACAATCATTTTTTAAAAATCAAATAAATACCAAAAAATCAAAAATGAGCCTGATCTCTTGTCCCTATCATGGTGAAGAAAATTTTGTCATGCTCCAGATATGGTTCCATATCAAAGCAAAATAGTCAAAGGAGAGTTTCTTTTGCCTTAGGATTCCAGCCGAGCTGAACCTGGAAGACCAAATTGTTGAATAAAGAATACATCCTAGTATTGAAAATCAAGTTTATCTTGGGCTATCAATGAAAGATGGTTAAGTTTTTTGCATTATCATGTATTAACAATCAAGCTATTTCTAATATCTTTTGTTGTCACTTTATTAAAATTTCATTTTCGAGTAGAGTTTACAGTCAATATTATTTTATTAATTTCAGGTGTAGAGCAAAGTGGTTAGGCAATCTCATACTTTATAGTGATTTCCACAGATATTTCAAGTAGCCTCCCCAATACCATACATACTTATTATGTTATTAACTATACTACCTGTGCTGGACTTTCCATGCTATGACTATTTTGTAACTGCCAATTTGTACTTTTAGAGCCCTGACCTTTTTGACCCAGTCCTCCAACCCCCCTCTCCTCTGGCAACCATCAGTCTGTTCTCTGTATCTATGAATCAGTTTCTATTTTGTCTGTTCATTTATTTTGATTTTTAGATTCCACATATAAGTGAAATCACATGGTATTTGTCCTTCTCTGCCTGACACATTTCACTTAGCATAATACCCTCTAGTTCTACCCATGCTGTCCCAAAGGATAAAATTTCATTCTTTTTTTGGACCAAGTAATATTCTGTTGTTTGTATGCACATTTATATCCACTCTTCTATTGATGGGAACTTAGGTTGCATCCATATTTTATTTATTGTAAATAATGCTGCAATAAAGGTAGGCGTGTGTATGTCCTTCCAAATTAGTATTTTGGATTTCTTCAAACATATACCCAGAAATAGAATGGCTGGGTCATAAGGCAATTCCATTTTTAATTTTTTAAGGAAACTCCATATGGTTTTCCATAGTGTCTACACCAATCTGCATCCCCACCAACAGTGCACAAGTGTTCTTTTTCTCCCACACCCTCGTCAGCGTTTATTGATGATAGCTGTTCTAACAGATGTGAAGTGATATCTCATTGTGATTTTTATTTGCATTTTTTGATTAGTGATGTTAAGCATCTTTTCATGTCTATTTGTTTTTTGATCCAATTGTAAGTGGGTTTTTCTCTGTTTCTGATAGTTCATTATTGGTATATAAAAATGCAACCTATTTCTGAATATTACTTAATATCCTGCTACTTTAGTGAATTCACTTAGTAGTGCTAGCAGTTTTTTTGTGGAATCTTTAGGGTTCTCTCTACATATTATCTTGTCTGTAAATGACAATTTTACACCTTCCTTTCCAACTGGGATGTCTTTTATTTTTTCCTTCTTTATCTGATTGTTGTGGCTAGAACTCCCACTAGTATATTGAATAAGAGTGGTAAAAGCAGACATCTCTGCCTAGTTCCCAATTTTTAGAGAAAACCTTTTAGTTTTGCCCTAGCAACTAAAGCTTTAGTTGTGTATGATGCTGGCAGTGGGTTTGTCATGTATGGCCTTCACTATGTTGAAGTATGTTCCCTCTATTTCTGCTTTGTGGAGTTTTTATCACACATGGGTGCTGGATTTTGTCATATGCTTTTTCTGCATCTACTGATAAGATTATATGATTTTTATGCTTCATTTGGTTTATATGGTGTATCACATTAATTGATTTGCAGATATTGAACCCTGCACCACAGCATAAATCTCACTTGATCATGGTGTATGATCCTTTTAATACATTGCTGAATTCAGTTGGCTAATATTTTGTTGAGGATTTTTGCACCTATGTTCATCAAGGACATTTGCCTATAATTTCCTTTCTTTGTAGTGTCTTTTATCTGGTTTTGGAATCAGGATAATGCTGGCCTCATAAAATGAGCTTGGGAGCCCTCCCTCCTCTTGAGTTTTTGGGGAAGTTTGAGATGGACAGGTGTTAGCTCTTTTTTGAATGTTTGGTCAAACTCACGTATAAAGTCATGCAGTTCATTGATCTTTTGTGTTGTATTTTAGACTCTATTTCATTTATTTCCACCTGACCTTTATTTTCTTTCTTCTAGTCACTTTCAGCTTAGTTTCTTTTTCTTTTTCTAGTTCCTTTAGGTATAAAGTTAGACTGTTGGTTTGAGAATTTTCTTGTTACTTAAGGTAGGCCTGTATTGCTATGAATTTCCCTCTTACACTGCGTTAGCTGTGTCCCATAGATTTGATTGTTGAGTTTTCATTTTCATTTCTCTCAAGGTATCTTTTGACTTCTTCCTTGATATCATTGTTGACCTATTCATTGTTTAGTACCATGTTATTAGTCTCCATGTGTTTGTGTTTTCAGTTTTTTCCTTGTAACTGATTTCTAGTTTCAAAACATTGCAGTCAAAGAAGATACTTGCTATGATTTCAATCTTCCTAAATTTATTAAGACTTGTTTTGTGTCCTAATATGTGGTCTCTCCTAGAAAATGGTCCATGTGCACATGAAAAAACATGTGTCTTTTTTTTGCTTTGGGGTGAAATGTATGAAAATATCAATTTAATTCATCCAGTCTAATGTTTCATTTAAAGCTGATATTTCCTTGTTAAGTTTCTTTCTGGAAGACCTATCCATTGATGTCAATGGTATGTTAAATTCTCTACTATGACTGTATTACTGTTGATCTCTCCTTTATGTCTATCAAGATTTGCTTTATATATTTAGGTGCACAAATATTTACAATAAATATATTATCTTGTTAGATTAATGGCTTTATTATTATGTAATGGTCCTTTCTCTCTTATCATAGCCTTTGTTTTAAAGTTTTTTATTTTATTATACTTCCTTCTTTTATTTTTTAAATTATATTTTATTGATTATGCTATTACAGTTGTCTTGATTTTCCCCCTTTGCCCCCTCCACCCAGCAACCCCTACTCCCTCAGGCAATTCTCCCACCACTGTTCATGTCTATGGGTTATGTGTATGAGTTCCTTTGGATACTCCATTTCCTAATCTGTACTTTACATCCCCACTGCTATTCCGTAACTACCTATTTTGTACTTTTTGTTTGTTTGTTTGGGTTTTTGGGGTTTTTTTGTTTTTTTAATTTTATTTTATTTTTTCAAATAGTTTTGTCTCTGCCTACCCCCCACCACTTTCCCTTGCTCCCTCCCTCCTTCCCTCCCTCAGCTCTTCCCCTTTGGTTTTGTCCATGAGTCCTTGCTATATGTTCCTTGACTTCCCCCTTCCCTCCCTTTTCCCCGCCCCCCCTCCCTCCTTCCCTCTTGTCTCTGTTGATTTCTTTTCCTTTCAGTGTTGCTGGTCTTATTTTCCTTGCATCTTTGTATTGTTGGTTAGGTTCCACTTATAGGTGAGATCATATGGTATTTGTCTTTTGCCCCCTGGCTTATTTCGCTTAGCATAATGCTCTCCAGTTCCATCTATGCTGTCGCGAAGTGTAGTAGTTCTTTTTTCCTTTCTGCTGCGTAGTATTCTATTGTGTATATGTACCATAATTTTTTGATCCAATCATCTACTGATGGGCATTTAGGTTGCTTCTAACACTTGGCTATTGTCAATTGTGCTGCTATGAACATTGGGGTGCATAGGTTCTTTTGTATTGGCGTTTTGGTGTTCTTAGGGTATAGTCCCAGCAGGGGAATCACTGGATCAAAAGGCAGTTCCATTTTCAGCTTTTTGAGGAAATTCCACACTGCTTTCCACAGTGGCTGCACCAGTCTGCATTCCCACCAACAGTGGACTAGGGGTCCCTTTTCTCCACAGCCTCGCCAGCACCTGTTGTTTGTTGATCTGTTTATGATGGCCATTCTGACCGGTGTGAGGTGGTACCTCATGGTGGTTTTGACCTGCATTTCTCTGATGGCTAGTGATGCTGAGCATCCTTTAAAATGCCTCTGGGCCCTCTGTATCTCCTCCTTGCAAAAGCGTCTGCCCAGGTCCTTTGCCCATTTTTTGACTGGGTCGTTTGTCTTCTTGGAGTGGAGTCGAGTGAGTTCTTTATATATCTTGGAGATCAAACCTCCATCTGATGTATCATTAGCAAATATATTTTCCCATATGGTTGGCTCCCTTTTCATTTTGCTGATGTTTTCTTTTGCCGTGCAGAAGCTTCTTATTTTGACGAGGTCCCACTTGTTTATTCTTTCCTTTATGTCCCTTGCTTTAGGAGACATATCAGTGAAAAAATCGCTGCGTGGGATATCTGAGAGTTTCCTGCCAACGTTCTCCTCTAGGACTTTTATGGTGTTGCGACTTATATTTAAGTCTTTTATCCATCTTGAGTTTATTTTTGTGTATGGTGTCAGCTGATGATCCAATTTCAATTTTTTGCATGTAGCCATCCAGCTCTCCCAACACCATTTGTTGAAGAGGCTATTATTGCTCCATTTTATGCTTCTGCCCCCTTTGTCAAATATTAGATGCCCATAGAGACCTGGGCTTATTTCTGGGCTTTCTATTCTGTTCCACTGGTCTATGGGTCTGTTCTTGTGCCAGTACCAGATTGTTTTGAGTATAGTGGCTTTGTAGTAAAGTTTGATGTCCGGTATTGTGATCCCTCCTACTTTGTTTTTCTTTCTCAATTTATTTTCAGTCTGTGTTCTTTTGATATAAAATGGGTCTATTGTTGACATGTATTGTTTTCTTTTTCCATTCAGCTACCTTGTGTCTTTTGATTAGAGCATTTAATCCACTTACATTTAAAGTGATTTTTGATAGATACGTGGTTACTGTCATTTTATTATTCACATTTATGTTCCTCTTTTTTTCATTTCTTATTCTAAAAGAAGTCCTTTTAACATTCCTTGGTTTAGTGATGATAAAATCCTTTAGCTTTTCTTTGTCTGGAAAGCTCTTTATTTCTCTTTCAATTTTATTAGATTGCTTTGCTGGGTAGAATAG